ATAAAGCAACTATCGGGTATCTTCGGGATTTGTGGAAGCAACATCGGCCGGATTTTTTGTTTCTTTCGGAAACAAAACAATCTTCTTTATTTATGGAAAAATTTATTGGTCATTTGGTTATAAAAATTTAAAAACGGTAGATCATATCGGTTGTAGTGGCGGTTTAGCTCTTTATTATAATAACGATTACAATGTTTCAATTATTTTTGAAAGTAATCGTTTAATTGATATTGAGGCTATTTATAAAGGAAAAACAATCAATCTTACTTTTGTTTATGGAGATCCGGTACCAAAAAATAGAGACCAAGTTTGGGAACGGTTAACACGAATCGGGATATCTCGAGATAGTCCTTGGTTTTTGATAGGGGATTTCAATGAATTAACTGGAAATCATGAAAAAAGAGGTGGTAAATTGAGACATGCTTCTTCTTTTATCCCTTTTAATTCAATGATAAACGAATGTGGACTTTTGGATTTTCCATATGTCGGAGATTGGTTATCTTGGAGGGGATGGCGAGATAAAAAACCTATACGGTGTCGGTTAGATAGAGCGTTAGCAAATGAGGATTGGCATGAACTATTCCCTAATTCTTTCGTTGAATATTTACAAATGGTAGCTTCTGATCATTCTCCGGTTATAGCCACAATTTTAGATAAAATACCACGGAGTAAGCGATCTTTTAGGTTTGATAAAAGATGGGTTGGAAAAGAGGGGTTACTAGAGGCAATATCAAGTGGGTGGAATCTCGATTCCGGTGCTGAAGAGGGACAATTTGTGGAAAAATTGACTAATTGTAGAAAGGCTATTTCACAATGGCGGAAAGAATTATCTCCTTATGGACGGGAAAAAATAGAGGATCTAAAATTAGAACTCGATGTGGCTCAAAGAGATGATACGAGATCACGTGAGGAGATTACGGAGTTAACATTGCGGTTGAAAGAGGCTTATAGAGATGAAGAACTATATTGGTATCAAAAAAGTAGGAGTCTTTGGATGAAATTAGGGGATAATAATTCGAAATACTTTCATGCTCTGACAAAACAGAGGCGTGCAAGGAATCGGATTACCGGTTTACATGATGAAAATGGGATATGGTCTGTAGAGGATAAAGATATTCAAAACATAGCGGTCTCTTATTTTAAAAATTTGTTTACTACATCTAATCCGCATGCTTTTGAGGAGTCCCTAGCAGAGGTGAAAACATTGATCACGGATCAGATAAATGATTTTTTGACGGCTCCCGCGACGGAACGTGAGGTCCGAGCGGCATTATTTATAATGCATCCGGAAAAAGCGCCAGGACCTGATGGGATGACAGCCTTGTTTTTTCAGAAAGCAATAAGAAGCTTGGTTAGTATTTTTGGAGTCAAACATGACTAGATCTCGTGTTTATGATTGGGTATAAGAACTAGAACCGCAACCGGATCCCAAAACCTAAAGTAGTGTTTTTCCATTTAGAACCTCCAAAACAGAAAACTCATAGAACTTCGGCCACACCCACCAAGATTTGAGAAGCAATAAGAAGCTTGGTTAGTGTTTTTCGAGGCAAATATGACTAGATCTCGTGTTTATGATTGGGTATAAGAACTAGAACCGCAACCGGATCCCAAAAGCTAAAGTAGTGTTTTTCCATTTAGAAGCTCCAAAACCGAAAACTCATAGGACTTCGGCCACACCCACAAAGAGTTGAGAAGCAATAAGAAGCTTGGTTAGTGTTTTTGAAATATGACTAGATCTCGTGTTTATGATTGGGCTTAAGAACTGGAACCGCAACCGGATCCCAAAAGTTAAAGTAGTGTTTTATATTTAGAAGCTCCAAAACAGAAAACTCATAGGACTTCGACCACACCCACAAAGATTTGAGAAGCAATAAGAAGCTTGGTTAGTGTTTTTGGAGTCAAATATGGCTAGATCTCTTGTTTATGATTGGGTATAAGAATTAGAACCGCAATCTGATCCCAAAAGCTAAAGTAGTGTTTTTCTGTTTAGAAGCTCCAAAACCGAAAACTCATAGGACTTCGGCCACACCCACAAAGATTTGAGAAGCAATAAGAAGCTTGTTTAGTGTTTTTGGAGTCAAATATGACTAGATCTCGTGTTTATGATTGGGTATAAGAATTAGAACCGTAACCGGATCCCAAAAGCTAAAGTAGAGTTTTTCCGTTTAGAAGCTCCAAAACCGAAAACTCATAGGACTTCGGCCACACCCACAAAGATTTGAGAAGCAATAAGAAGCTTGGTTAGTGTTTTTGGAGGCAAATATGACTAGATCTCGTGTTTATGATTGGGTATAAGAACTAGAACCTCAACCGGATCCCAAAAGCTAAAGTAGTGTTTTTCCGTTTAGAAGCTCCGAAACTGAAAACTCATAGGACTTCGGCCACACCCACAAAGAGTTGAGAAGCAATAAGAAGCTTGGTTAGTGTTTTTGGAGTCAAATATGACTATATCTCGTGTTTATGATTGGGCTTAAGAACTGGAACCGCAACCGGATCCCAAAAGCTAAAGTAGTGTTTTTCCATTTAGAAGCTCCAAAACAGAAAACTCATAGGACTTCGGCCACACGCACAAAGATTTGAGAAGCAATAAGAAGCTTGTTTAGTGTTTTTGGAGTCAAATATGACTAGATCTCGTGTTTATGATTGGGTATAAGAATTAGAACCGCAACCGGATCCCAAAAGCTAAAGTAGAGTTTTTCCGTTTAGAAGCTCCAAAACCGAAAACTCATAGGACTTCGGCCACACCCACAAAGATTTGAGAAGCTATAAGAAGCTTGGTTAGTGTTTTTGGAGTCAAATATGACTAGATCTCGTGTTTATGATTGGCTTTAAGAACTAGAACAGCAACCGGATCCCAAAAGCTAAAGTAGTGTTTTTCCATTTAGAAGCTCCAAAACCGAAAACTCATAGGACTTCGGCCACACCCACAAAGATTTGAGAAGCAATAAGAAGCTTGGTTAGGGTTTTTGGAGTCAAATATGACTAGATCTCGTGTTTATGATTGGGCTTAAGAACTAGAACCACAACCGGATCCCAAAAGCTAAAGTAGTGTTTTTCCATTTAGAAGCTCCAAAACCGAAAACTCAAAGGACTTCGGCCACACCCACAAAGATTTGAGAAACAATAAGCAGTTTGTTTTGTGTTTTTGGAGTCAAATATGACTAGATCTCGTGTTTATGATTGGGCTTAAGAACTGGAACCGCAACCGGATCCCAAAAGTTAAAGTAGTGTTTTTCCATTTAGAAGCTCCAAAACAGAAAACTCTTAGGACTTCGGCCACACCCACAAAGAGTTGAGAAGCAATAAGAAGCTTGGTTAGTGTTTTTGGAGTCAAATATGACTAGATCTCGTGTTTATGATTGGGCTTAAGAATTGGAACCGCAACCGGATCCCAAAAGCTAAAGTAGTGATTTTCCATTTAGAAGCTCCAAAACTGAAAACTCATAGGACTTCGGCCACACCCACAAAGAGTTCAGAAGCAATAAGAAGCTTGGTTAGTGTTTTTGGAGTCAAATATGACTAGATCTCGTGTTTATGACTGGCTTAAGAACTGGAACCGCAACCGGATCCCAAAAGCTAAAGTAGTGTTTTACGGCGCTAGGGTTTTGAACCCGACTATTCGTTCTGTTTCTCCGGCGACGGTGGATTCGGGATGGGTGTGGGAGTCCGATGGTTCTCTTTGGGGACAATGAGGGGCTATGATCGGAGGCTTTTGTTAAGTTTCTTTTTCGGGTCCCAATGGTGGTTCAATGGTCAGATCTATGTTCTAAGATTGGTTCTTATGGTTACTGGGTCGATCTCGGATCTGTTCGCAGTCTGCGGGTCAGGATCTATGAGGGGTGTTAGCTCCAATCGGATCTGGCTTCGGAAAGAAACAGAAGTTTCGGTTGCTTCTTGTTTCGGATCCATGGTTGAAAGACTGGTTTTTGTCTCGGAGAGAGAATCTGAGAGTTGTGGGTGTACTTTGGAGCTTCACTGCGGTATCTTGCAACTTTCCTTCTCTATGGGGACTGCAGGGATCTCAATTTCGGAGACAGAGAGTGAGAATCTGTGGGATTCAGTATCTGGTCTGAATAATGTAAGGGTGGGTTTAGGTCAACAAAGGCTTAATTTGTTTGTTTTTGTTGGAAATTTGCAAGCTTTTCTACTAAAGGTTAATGAGGATTACCTAAATACGGAGCTGATGAAGGATTTGATCGGAGTATTAATTGGTGCTGGTCTACAGAGTCAAAGATTTGAGGTATTAGATGGGATTAGGGACAAGTTTTTTGGATCTCTTTTTGTTTTTGCGAAGAGGTGGTTGGTTGTAGTGGAGAGTTTTGGAAGGTTGTTTAGTGGCACAGAATTATGGGGATCTCAAATCAGGGTCATTCCAATATTTGCGAGGTCTAGAGATCGGAAGGATTCTATTTCTCAAGATCTAAAGGATTCTTGTTTTGAAGATATGGTATCGGGAGATAATCATCTCTCCTTTTCTTTATTTTTTTGGGCAGCAAGTTTGGAGAGAATCATGGATATTCTCGCATTGGTGTGGTATCATTCTGGCTTGAATGAGGATCGTAAGAGATTGGGCTGGTATGCTGAGTTTCACTGGTTTAAAAAGGGACGAATGGTTTTAACTTTTACACATCTCTCTCTTGAGTTTAGTTTCGATTTTTATCCATCATTTGTGGTATTTGTGAGTTTGTTGTGGTTGAGTGATTCTTTTTTCGGGTCTTGTTTCTCTAAAATGTCTCACAGTGGATTGTTGGGAAAGGGATTGACGGAGAAGATGGATTGTGAGGCAGCAGTTGACGGAAAAAACGCTGGGAATTCAATGGTGACTGACATGATGGTTATCGATGGGGGTCGGTATTTGTTTCGATTATGGTTTTTTATCCGTTTGTATTTGGGGGTTGAGTTTTTGGAGTTGAGCTTCGGTGAGATATATGTTTTGGATTGGGATGTGTTGTTATTGGAATTTGAGATTGTTTTAGTTGCAGTTTGGTTTTGGGCTGCGTATGATGTTGGTCTGTTGTGTTTGGATTTTGAGTGTATGGAGTTGAGTTTTAGTGGTTGTAACAAACGGTTTTACTACGGTTTGAATTCTGGTTTCTTATGGTTGGATGTGGATACTATAAGGGTAAGAATATCCACAGTCAACTGTGATTGGGTTTCTCTAAGAAATAATCAAGGGAATGAAGGTTATAATCCAACGTACCATGGCACGGTGAAGGGATTAACGGGTGGACGCAACCCACCTAAATCAAAGGTTGATAAATGAAAGTTTTAAGCTGGAATTGTCAAGGTCTCGGAAATAAAGCAACTATCGGGTATCTTCGGGATTTGTGGAAGCAACATCGGCCGGATTTTTTGTTTCTTTCGGAAACAAAACAATCTTCTTTATTTATGGAAAAATTTATTGGTCATTTTGGTTATAAAAATTTAAAAACGGTAGATCATATCGGTTGTAGTGGCGGTTTAGCTCTTTATTATAATAACGATTACAATGTTTCAATTATTTTTGAAAGTAATCGTTTAATTGATATTGAGGCTATTTATAAAGGAAAAACAATCAATCTTACTTTTGTTTATGGAGATCCGGTACCAAAAAATAGAGACCAAGTTTGGGAACGGTTAACACGAATCGGGATATCTCGAGATAGTCCTTGGTTTTTGATAGGGGATTTCAATGAATTAACTGGAAATCATGAAAAAAGAGGTGGTAAATTGAGACATGCTTCTTCTTTTATCCCTTTTAATTCAATGATAAACGAATGTGGACTTTTGGATTTTCCATATGTCGGAGATTGGTTATCTTGGAGGGGATGGCGAGATAAAAAACCTATACGGTGTCGGTTAGATAGAGCGTTAGCAAATGAGGATTGGCATGAACTATTCCCTAATTCTTTCGTTGAATATTTACAAATGGTAGCTTCTGATCATTCTCCGGTTATAGCCACAATTTTAGATAAAATACCACGGAGTAAGCGATCTTTTAGGTTTGATAAAAGATGGGTTGGAAAAGAGGGGTTACTAGAGGCAATATCAAGTGGGTGGAATCTCGATTCCGGTGCTGAAGAGGGACAATTTGTGGAAAAATTGACTAATTGTAGAAAGGCTATTTCACAATGGCGGAAAGAATTATCTCCTTATGGACGGGAAAAAATAGAGGATCTAAAATTAGAACTCGATGTGGCTCAAAGAGATGATACGAGATCACGTGAGGAGATTACGGAGTTAACATTGCGGTTGAAAGAGGCTTATAGAGATGAAGAACTATATTGGTATCAAAAAAGTAGGAGTCTTTGGATGAAATTAGGGGATAATAATTCGAAATACTTTCATGCTCTGACAAAACAGAGGCGTGCAAGGAATCGGATTACCGGTTTACATGATGAAAATGGGATATGGTCTGTAGAGGATAAAGATATTCAAAACATAGCGGTCTCTTATTTTAAAAATTTGTTTACTACATCTAATCCGCATGCTTTTGAGGAGTCCCTAGCAGAGGTGAAAACATTGATCACGGATCAGATAAATGATTTTTTGACGGCTCCCGCGACGGAACGTGAGGTCCGAGCGGCATTATTTATAATGCATCCGGAAAAAGCGCCAGGACCTGATGGGATGACAGCCTTGTTTTTTCAGAAAGCCTGGATTACTATTAAATCGGACTTGTTGATCCTCGTAAACTCTTTTTTACGAGATGGTGTTTTCGATAAGCGGTTAAATACGACTAATATATGTCTTATTCCAAAAACGGAGCGACCAACCCGGATGACGGAATTACGGCCCATTAGTCTCTGCAATGTTGGTTATAAAGTTATTTCAAAAATCCTTTGTCAAAGACTTAAGACGGTACTACCAAAACTTATTTCGGAAACCCAATCGGATTTTGTAGAAGGACGACTAATCTCGGATAATATTCTTATAGCTCAGGAGATGTTTCATGGTCTGAGAACTAACCAGTCCTGTAAAGGAAAATTTATGGCTATTAAAACAGATATGAGTAAGGCCTACGATCGGGTTGAATGGAAGTTTATCGAAGAATTATTGAGGAAGATGGGATTCTGCGAAAAGTGGATTTCTTGGATGATGTGGTGTATCACAACAGTCCAATATAGAGTTCTTCTTAATGGACAACCCCGAGGACTAATTATTCCGGAAAGGGGATTAAGACAAGGAGATCCTTTATCTCCTTACTTATTTATTTTATGTACGGAAGTGCTTATAGCGAATATAAGGAAAGCGGAACAACAAAAATTAATTACTGGTATTAGAGTATCCACAGCTAGTCCTTCGGTATCTCATCTCTTATTTGCTGATGATAGTTTGTTCTTTTGCAAAGCCAATAAAGAACAATGCGGGGTAATTTTTGGGATTCTAAAGCAATATGAAACGGTTTCAGGACAACAAATTAATTTTTCAAAATCTTCGATTCAGTTTGGCTATAAGGTGGATGATTCTATTAAGGCAGAAATAAAAGCAGTTCTAGGAATTCAAAACCTCGGGGGTATGGGATCTTATCTTGGTTTACCTGAAAGTCTTGGTGGATCGAAGACCAAGATCTTTTCTTTTGTCAGAGATAGACTTCAGGCTAGAATAAATGGTTGGTCAGCTAAATTTTTATCAAAAGGTGGGAGAGAAGTAATGATTAAATCGGTAGCTGCGGCACTACCAACATATGTTATGTCTTGCTTCAGGTTACCAAAAACAATTACTTCTAAACTTACAAGTGCGGTTGCTAAGTTTTGGTGGAGTTCTAACGGCGAGTCGAGAGGAATGCACTGGATGGCTTGGAATAAGCTATGTAGTAGTAAATCAGAAGGAGGTGTAGGATTTCGGAATGTAGATGATTTTAATACGGCATTACTAGCAAAACAATTATGGCGTTTGATTACGGTTCCTGATTCACTTTTTGCAAGGGTTTTTAAAGGACGGTATTTTCGAAAATCCAATCCATTGGATAATATAAAATCATAATCTCCTTCTTATGGTTGGAGAAGTATAATGTCAGCTAGATCTCTGGTTATTAAAGGACTTATTAAAAGAGTGGGTTCTGGGGCGTCCATCTCAGTTTGGGAGGATCCATGGATACCAGCTCATTTCCCGAGACCAGCAAAAAGTAATGGTTCATTTATTGACCCATCTTTAAAAGTTAATAGCCTTGTCGACAGCCGGTCAAATTGAGAAGCAATAAGAAGCTTGGTTAGTGTTTTTGGAGTCAAATGTGACTAGATCTCGTGTTTATGATTGGGCTTAAGAACTAGAACCGCAACCGGATCCCAAAAGCTGAAAGTAGTGTTTTTCCGTTTAGAAGCTCCAAAACCGAAAACTCATAGGACTTCGGCCACACCCACAAAGATTTGAGAAGCTATAAGAAGCTTGGTAAGTGTTTTTGGAGTCAAATATGACTAAATCTCGTGTTTATGATTGGGTTTAAGAACTAGAACCGCAACCGGATCCCAAAAGCTAAAGTAGTGTTTTTCCATTTAGAAGCTCCAAAACAGAAAACTCATAGGACTTCGGCCACACCCACAAAGATTTGAGAAGCAATAAGAAGCTTGGTTAGTGTTTTTGGAGTCAAATATGACTAGATCTCGTGTTTATGATTGGGTTTAAGAACTAGAACCGCAACCGGATCCCAAAAGCTAAAGTAGTGTTTTTCCATTTAGAAGCTCCAAAACAGAAAACTCATAGGACTTCGGCCACACCCACAAAGATTTGAGAAGCTATAAGAAGCTTGGTTAGTGTTTTTGGAGTCAAATATGACTAGATCTCGTGTTTATGATTGGGTTTAAGAACTAGAACCGCAACCGGATCCCAAAAGCTAAAGTAGTGTTTTTCCATTTAGAAGCTCCAAAACAGAAAACTCATAGGACTTCGGCCACACCCACAAAGATTTGAGAAGCAATAAGAAGCTTGGTTAGTGTTTTTGGAGTCAAATATGACTAGATCTCGTGTTTATGATTGGCTTTAAGAACTAGAACAGCAACCGGATCCCAAAAGCTAAAGTAGTGTTTTTCCATTTAGAAGCTCCAAAACCGAAAACTCATAGGACTTCGGCCACACCCACAAAGATTTGAGAAGCTATAAGAAGCTTGGTTAGTGTTTTTGGAGTCAAATATGACTAGATCTCGTGTTTATGATTGGGTATAAGAATTAGAACCGCAACCGGATCCCAAAAGCTAAAGTAGAGTTTTTCCGTTTAGAAGCTCCAAAACCGAAAACTCATAGGACTTCGGCCACACCCACAAAGATTTGAGAAGCTATAAGAAGCTTGTTTAGTGTTTTTGGAGTCAAATATGACTAGATCTCGTGTTTATGATTGGCTTTAAGAACTAGAACAGCAACCGGATCCCAAAAGCTAAAGTAGTGTTTTTCCATTTAGAAGCTCCAAAACCGAAAACTCATAGGACTTCGGCCACACCCACAAAGATTTGAGAAGCAATAAGAAGCTTGGTTAGTGTTTTTGGAGTCAAATATGACTAGATCTCGTGTTTATGATTGGGCTTAAGAACTAGAACCACAACCGGATCCCAAAAGCTAAAGTAGTGTTTTTCCATTTAGAAGCTCCAAAACCGAAAACTCATAGGACTTCGGCCACACCCACAAAGATTTGAGAAGCAATAAGAAGTTTGGTTTGTGTTTTTGGAGTCAAATATGACTAGATCTCGTGTTTATGATTGGGCTTAAGAACTGGAACCGCAACCGGATCCCAAAAGTTAAAGTAGTGTTTTTCCATTTAGAAGCTCCAAAACAGAAAACTCATAGGACTTCGACCACACCCACAAAGATTTGAGAAGCAATAAGAAGCTTGGTTAGTGTTTTTGGAGTCAAATATGGCTAGATCTCGTGTTTATGATTGGGCTATAAGAATTAGAACCGCAATCTGATCCCAAAAGCTAAAGTAGTGTTTTTCCGTTTAGAAGCTCCAAAACCGAAAACTCATAGGACTTCGGCCACACCCACAAAGATTTGAGAAGCAATAAGAAGCTTGGTTAGTGTTTTTGGAGTCAAATATGACTAGATCTCGTGTTTATGATTGGCCTTAAGAACTAGAACCACAACCGGATCCCAAAAGCTAAAGTAGTGTTTTTCCATTTAGAAGCTCCAAAACAGAAAACTCATAGGACTTCGGCCACACCCACAAAGATTTGAGAAGCAATAAGAAGCTTGGTTAGTGTTTTTGGAGTCA